TTGTGACTCCATGGACTGGAGCCTGTCAGGCTCCTGTGCCCATGGAATTTTCTAGACAAGAATACTGGAGTGGGCTGCCACTCTTTTCTCCAAGGGATCTTCCCTACCCAGGGATCAAACCTGGGTCTCCTGCATTATAGGCAGATTCTTTACCAAGTGAGCCACCTAAGGAATCCTACCCATGCTGCTTGTCTGAAGACTATGCACTGAATAAGAAGGATCTATAGTGTTCTTGCCTGGAGAGCCCCAGGGACAGAGGGCCTGGTGGGCTGCCGTTTATGGGGCCGCACAGAGTCGGACACGACTGAAGCGACTTAGCAGCAGCGGCAGCAGCATCAGGTCTATGGTTATTACATCATGTAGCATGGATACACACATACACAGTCAGGTGCTGAGGGTGGGGTTACACACCTCAATTTGGAAGTCATGCTGTCCTCCTCAAAGGCAGCATATTCTCATGTCTGAGCCACACAGAGCCCTTTTTATTTTATTTATCAGTATGTTTTTAACCTCATCTCTCCTCTTAATGCTTTAATTCTGATGATCCCAGTGTCGAAGATTTCTGGTCTCTTAAGGGTTATCTTTCCTGATTCCCAGGTGATTGGCATTTGTAGTATACACAAACATTTCATTTGAGTTTCAAAGAATTGCATCTCACCACACAAAAGTGCTGACAGCTAACATATTTTCTTTATATACAGATGGGCTTGAAGTGGGCATCAAAGATTTGAAAAAGCTTAATGAAGAGCCTATTACATATGTACAATCAGAAACCATTTTACTAATTTTTAGCCTCACTTCTAAATTTTAGCCACTGTGGTTTGGCTCTAGGCCTCTGAGCTCGTATATTGTTTTTATTTCAGTCAATCATGTAATCACAACCCTTCAGTGTTACCTTCGTTGTTCAGATGTAGTAGATAGGATGACAATCCTCTCATAGTGAAATTATTTATTTGTTCTTTTTCAAGCAGTGAGTCAGTGATGGAGTCAATGTTAGGACTCTGTATATTCAGTTTCTTCTTTCTGCTGTATGCATGTGGCACTGTATTCAGGATTGGATTATTGAATGAGAAGGATGAATTTGGATCTTTATTTGGGTTACAAAGAGTTCATAAAGAGAGAACTAGATACCTAGTAAAATAAAACTTAGTGTCAGTCTTTATTGAGCATACAAAATGTACAAGGTATGATATAAATGCCACAATCTGAAAGTTCAAGTGCTAAAATATCATGTCGTGCATTTCCTGGATGCTACTTTATGTGTCAAGGTACATAATCCATCTGATTTTCAGCTCACATTGAATGGATTCTTATAGTTTATAAGTGTTTTAAGATATAACTGAGAAAAAATGGTACATATGTTTGGTTTTATTCTTAATCATATAAGTAGATTAAATTCTCTTAGTTCTTCAACAAAATAGTTTTTTTTTTAATAACTTTCATCTGTAATTTAGTGTTAGTGTCCTCCCGTAAAGTCCTTGTTTTAGTACCTGCTCTTCGAAATGAACTGTTTGTCAAATTTCCATTAAGCTGAAGGTGAAAAATTAATGAACCACTTACTTCAGATATTTCAAAACTAATGCAAGTCTATTAGTCATGCAATATAAGAAAATCAAAGATGTTGGTTTGTTCAATTACTGTTTAGGCTTCATTCATATTTAACTTTTAAATGCATTGTTTCAGATGCTTAATAGAACATTCTGGAGAAAAAAAGGAATGTAGTTATTCATTTTTATTTTTGATCTCAAAGATAATTTTATTTATATAAATACTTTTTGTAACCCAGAGCAGTTAATTAGTGAGTTGATAGGGGTGGGTAGGTTTTGAAGGTTTTGAAAGTAGTTAGCTTACAAAAAAGCACTAATATATAACAAGCATAGGATTAATAGAATTCTGATTAGTTTTCAATTGTATCTCTGCTCTAGTTAATAGATATTTAGAAAACCAGTAAGATAGAGACATTGAATTATTTTTCAAGGAATTGTTAATTCATTCCTCCCTCTCTGACTTCTTCCTTTTCTTTCCTTTCCTTTCCTTACCCCATTAACTACTGAGCTCTTGTTATGATCCTGGCAATGTGCTGGGTATTGTGTGTTATGTGACAATGGGAAAGACTTGCTCCTTTACTTTAAGGAGTTTAGAGGAGACAATCAAAGTGTTTTTGCATAGTGATCTAGTAATTAGAAATGCCAAGCACTGAAAAAAAATGCAGATAAATCACATAGAGCTGAAGGTGTCAGAGAAACTTTCTTATAGAAATGAGTTAAGCTTTTAAGGAAATGTGTATTTCAGACATGTGCAGACATGTGATACATGAGAGAAGCAAGTAAAGTGGAAGAAATGGCTTAAGCAAAACATGGAGGATATAAATCACAGAATATGCATGGTGACAGTTTAAGTATTAGCATAAGATATATGGAGAGGGATGGTAGGAAATAATGTTGGAAATATCAGGTCTGAGATTGTGAAGGGCCTTGAATGGCAAGTTCAGTTTGGAAGTTCAGTATCTGAATTGAGGAGAGGTGAATCACACATTTTAAGAAGTTTCATTTTGTGTTAGCAACATGTTAGCACCTAACATCCATGAAAACTGCAAAATAATAGATTGCACATTTGTTGCAAATACTGTCTCATTGTCCCTACACACTGGAAGTTTCAAAGGCAATGGCTGAGGGAGGAAGTGCATGCTGGGAGAGCCAAAGTGAGACGGCTACATCAGGAGGACCTCCCAGCTGGCTTGCTGAGTGGGCCACACTGTCCTGCCTTAGAGCACCAGCAAGGAGCAACAGCCACTCGGGACAGCAGCTTCCTTGTGGCCTGAAAGTCCCCTTCAGCCGCCCTCAACTGGCTGCAGGGCTGCTCACATCTGTGTGAACCACGCAGGGCTTGATTCATGGACGTACAACCCACACTCAAAAAGACGCGCACTCGATTCAGTTCCCTGCTATTGCCGTGTTGAAGTCCTTCCTACTTTTTGATCGAGAGTTCCCACAGTGTCATTTTGCTCTGGTCTTGTGAATTATGTGTCCGGTCTTGATACTTTGACATGAACATGGTTAGGAAGCAATGAACTATGTTATGGTCAAAATGCTTGGTCGTATAGCCATATAAAAAGGAGTACTAAGTTATGAGACCAGCTTTGTGTTTATACAACAAAACTGATCCTAAGCTTAAATCTTAGTACTTTTTCTTCAAAGCCATGACTTCTGTGGCTGCCACAGCTAAATATGTTTTAGCCTTGTGGTTTTTCTGATGATAAATTAAGGAAAGGCTTCCATATCATATTGTGTCATTAATAATCTGCCTCCTGGAGCCTGGATACCAGTATTGTCGAGTTCTGCACCGCCTGAAGTCCTATCAAATTAAATTCTGAGAAAACCTGTGGCAATTATTTTCTCTAATAAAAGTTCTGAAAAATACAGCTCTGCGTTCACAAACATTATTGGCTGCCTGATAGTCATTCTGTTGTGTATTTCACTTTCTGAGTCAGTATAAATATATATATAAACTGAATAAAAGTGTATTTTTTTTTTAGTTTTTTTCCTTATGCGGAGTTTATTCTTTTCATTCTGTTTATTCTGAATACTTGTGTAATTTTCTCTTGCTTGTGTTACCATAGTTGTTTCTCTCATTTTCAATTTTTATTTTTTCAAAGTTTAAGATGAATATAAATAGAAATTTCTACAAAGCTTAGACACATTTATAAAAATGTGTCACCTTCTCTCATCCTTCCCTGTGTTTCTGCTTTGTCTATATCCCCAAAGCAAGCACTAAAATGCTTTCAACACTTTTGGTTGTTACCTATTTTTCATATCTATCTCACTGCCTCTCAAGAGTATGTTTAAGAGTTGAATTCATTTTTCAGTTGTATCCATTATATTGACTTACCACTATGAAAGATAGAAAGATTTCATTTTCTTTCATAGGTTTCCATGTTCCCTCAACCCTGACATTTTCCCTTTTTTCTTTTTTCCTGAAGAATGATGTTTATTTTTGTATTAAAAAGTCATTTTTTACATTTCTACGGGGCTTCCCAGGTGGCTCAGTAGCAAAGAATTTGCTTGCCAATGCAGGAGACACAAGAGATGCAGGTTCAATCCCTGGTCAGGAAGATTCCCTAGAGGAGGAAATGACAACCCACTCCAGTATTCTTATCTGGAAAATTCCATGGACAGAGGAGCCTGGCCATGGGGTCACAAAGAATGGGACATGATTGAAGCTACTACTTAGCATGCACACATGCACATACCTGGAAGGAAGGATTCTGTGCACCAATGAGAACAAGGCATCTGAAGGGTCTTAGCAATCATAACACCATCCCGTTTAAAGGATCGGAGATACCCTTCCCTGTGTCTGGTGTCTCCCTGTTCAGTGTCCCACCTGCAGTCTCTGCTGGAAGGAGGACCAGGCGCTGTTCATATTGACTGAATGAGTGAGGGGTTCAGGAGGAGAGACTCCTTCACAATCAGAATTTGACCAAGCCCTGCTGTTTTCAGCCCTTCCTTTACCCCTTTTTTAATAGGTAGCTGATATTGTCAGTTCTCAAGTCTCTCTGGGTTCTATGATCCAAACTGCATTGCTTTTCAGCTTTTTCACTCTGCCAGCTTAGGTTTTGTTCTCCTTGGTCTGTCGTATCGGTTGACACTCATCTGCTTTCCGGCTTCTAATATCTTACTACTAGTGTGTCTCCGATTCTCTTTGCCCCTGTGGATTGATGCTTTTCTATCCCTTTGTTGTCATTTAAGTAGCGAATGGAATTAAATGCCTCTGTACAATCTGCAATCATGAACTAGGTTACATAATGCTATTTGGACTGAATTTTTCTTATCAAGTATCTCAAATCATTTTTAACAAGGAGACAGTATAACTAAGGAGTAAACAAACAAATAAATTAAAAAAACTTACCATTCATCATTTAAATACTTATTATAGAAAACCTGCTCTTCAAGTGTCTTTAATTTCTGTTTGCTAAGGATTCTATTTTTCTCTTTTGAATACAGGTGGCAGCTTTAGACAAAACCGATCAAACCTCACCTCTCTACTAGTGCAGCCCATCTCAGCATCTCTTGTTGCAAAACTCATCTCTTTGCCAAAGGATAGGACCACAAACGGTGCCTGTAGCCCTCTAGAACTTCCCAATAATGGTAAAGTATTTAATGTCTTTCTGTGTGTCTTATAGTTTTTATAAGGCCCATGATCAATTTTAATCTGTTTGATTGCATCTTTAGGATTATTCTTTCTCAAACAAAAACAAAAACAAAAACATTTATTTCTGTTGATATGAGCTTTTATTTCTCTTCTCTGGCTTTTCGAAAGTAATTCTATAAAGATTGAGAGCTGACCAAGCTGAGAGATTAAAAAAAGAAGAAAAGCATTTTGAACTGCAACTAAGAAAAGCAGCTTTACAAATAAAGCATTTTGTACATTCATGAAAATCTGCTTAACATCAGTTCTCAGTTTCAGCTTCAGCAGGCTTGTTGCCTGCCAAGATTCAGTGGATAGCAGTCAGCTATCTGTGGTATGAAGTCTTTTAGTAGAAAGCATTAAAGCCTAATTCCTGCAATTGACTAAAAAATCCCTCTGTCTTTACGCATCGTTGCTGGAGAGATGCTTCTTATACTGCAGTGCAGTTTGTCAGGCCTTGTTGGACCACACAGGATAAAACTGAAGTAGTTAAGCTACCTGTGGTAGGATGAAAGTCATGGGCTGCATCTTATTTCTGCCTCCAGCCTCAGCATTAAACTTCTAAAGGAAAGACTCTCTTTATATATTGTTAACTTTGTATCTAGTTGGCTGTGAAATTCAACTTCAGGGGTCCGTTTTTGTGTCCAGACCCAGAGGCTTAACTACCCATGTTTTATCTCATTTGTTTTCTCCTGACAACAAAAGCATAAACAAATAAAATATGTTTTGAAAAAGCCTAAAAAATTAAAAAAAAAAAAAAGGCTCTGAATGCGTTCAGAATTGCCCTTTCTTAGAGACAGGTTTTTTAAAGTTCTGTAGATTGAGAACCTCTTAAACTGATTATTGCTTGAACATAGTAGGAACTATAGAAAACAATGCTAAGACTTCGGCCTCAAAATAGGAAAGAAGTTCTTGAGAAGCTTTTTGTTTAGCTTTTTCTATCTTCTAGTCTTAGCCCCAAAATTTGATAATGAGCTCTATTTGCTAAAATATGTAATTAACACTATACTAATAATTTCCTTGTAAGAAAAGCATCAGATGTTGAAAAGATCAGACTTAAGTCCAGATTTAATTAACTGATTGGTTTATTCAATAAACAGTCAGAGTCCCTCCTATCTTAATCTGTAGAAGGAGATCCTGATTGCCTCAAGCCTATCAGCTTATCACATCAACCATATAATGACAACTGGTTGAAGGATGATGCAAATTTGGCCAAACAGAGACATGACTCAATCTCTGGACTTTGAGCAATGGCTAATTTTAATGATAGAACTGAATAAGAAATCATATAGCTCTGGGATATCTTGGTCCTTCTGAGGACCTTGAGGGCATAATACCTGACAATGGAACCAAGGTGAAGAAGGGGTAGATGAATAATGTAAAGAGAGAGAATGTGAGAGACAGACTCTTGTCCACATCATTTGATACCTAAATAAAGCCTTGTCTGAAGCCATAGCTACTGAACTACTCATATATATGCCAATACATTCCCTTTTTAACTGTCAACTTATTTCTTTGATTTTCAGTTACTTAGAAACAAAAGTCATGCCACTGATACTGTAAAACTTACACTAAACTAAAGAATATCTACATGCATAAAACAGGCTTAGCAAAGTGTAGTGAAGAGGATGTTATTTATATGGCAAGTCCTGGGAGAATTAAGAAAATTGTATAAGGGATAGAAAAACAAGCAGAAGAAAAACAGATTGTTTGCATTGACTAAATAATTAGATATTGATGCCATTTAATTTCCCATGACCTTATTTTCTGTAGGTCTTACTCACTGATTATATATTGTCAATCTTTGTCCTTGAGAGTCAATCAATAGCTGGGAATTTGAATTTTCATATATCAATCTGAGCTTGTCATTAAAAACCATGACTGCAGTGAAAAAAAAATTAGATGAGAAAGTATAAAATCCATTAGTATAATACAGAGTGGAAAGCCTTAATCATGTTAAAAGAAATATTTTAATATGTTTAAATTACTTTTGATAAATAGAAAAAAATGATTTACTATGATGCATAAAACTTAGCATCATTAGTAAATTTGGATCTAAGTAAATTTGGATCATATATCTTCAGATCATATATCTTCACACATACATAACTATATATAACTCTTATTTCTGTATTCACAATTTTATATGTTCTTTGTTCAAAATATTTTTATCAGAAGAATTTAATCTCTTCTGATTATGTTTATAATTCTTACACACCTAAAATGAATTTTGAAGATCTATATATCTGATTTGTTAAATTAAAGTATGCATTATTATAATTTCTTGAACAATAGTGTAAAAACATGTACTGAAAATATTATCTATAAACTTTGGTCATTTTACAATTTTTTGGCAAATAATACAAATTAGCTCTTGAGGAGACATCCACTAACAAAAAATGTTAGTAAAAATAAGTCTGGCATTGCTGTTTTTTGCATCTGAGACTAATCATACTTTTCAGTGTAGCCAGTGCTGCTCTCTGTGAAAGATCCAGGAGTACGTTGTGCTATTCAGGTAAAAAAAAAAAAAAAAAAAAAAATTGCCTTGAGCTGTGTGTGTGTGCATGTGTGTATATGTATGTGAAGTAGACAATGGGATAGTTTGGATGGAAATAGCTACCCACTCTAGTATTCTTGCCTGGAAAATGCCATGGACAGAGGAGCCTGGTGGGCTATAGTTCATAGGGTCAAAAGAATCGGACATGACTGAGTGACTAACACTTTCACTTTGGATGTGATATGGTGTGGCTTGGCTTTTGGAGACTTTGTAAAAGAGAATTCCCCAGTAGATCTGAAGTAAAAGAGAATTGAAAGCTTATTTTAGAGCAGCATGGGCTTTAATAACTTCTAGCCATCAATATGGAGGAAAATATCTAGAAGAACATGAGGAAAAATGTAATTTATTCAGACAACTCTTACAAAGCATTCATATAGGTATGATGGCCACTGTTTAAAAAATTCAGTGAGCTAGACTGCTGTAGGAAAGACTGATAGATCTTGTGACAGATGCAAGCTAGATGTTAGGAATCACTAAACTATACTGGTGATACCCCAATTTTATGCCTCTTCAAGCTGCCAGTTGCACAGTGAACCTGGGAGTCTGAGCAGGAAGCTGACAACAGAGTAATCTATAGAACTAAAGATCAGCCTTGATGAGCTGCCAGTCTGAAGTCCTCAGACAAAAGGAAGAAAAAGCTTCAGAAATCACTTTGAAGGTCTGTTCATCAAGGGTCTTAAACAGAGTGAACATAGGTGGGAAACCTATTGTCCAAAGTCTACAGAAAGTACAGTCATTTCTCTGTTTCCCAGGGAGTACAGGTTGGGTTTACAGAGGGTGACACAGATCTGTCATTTAGCAGAACTTATCGAGTTTCCAGCTTTCCATCCTGACAGCTTTGATTTTGGGAAATGATTTAGCTTGGATCCAGTCTAGAGTTTTGTTTGGTTGTTTGCCGGGAAGACTTAAAGACAAGCTGAAATATACACTTTTAAGCAAAATTCCTTTAACAAGTATTTTCTAACTTTTAATGTTTCTTAGCAATTTTTAGAGGGTCTTGTATTCTTATCACATGTCACTTAAGTACATGTCAGTCCTTCCAAATTATGGAAGTTCCAACTAAACTCTGAAGTTTATATATAAATCCCTCAGAGCATACCCTACCTTTATATTTTGAAGATCATTTTTCAAAATCCTTTTTTTCACAATGGGTGACCATTGTTATTTACTGTTATAGAAACTGCCAGAGATTTCTGAATGCCTTTCTGGGTCTATATCCTGCCATTCCCTTCATGTGTCTATAGTTTTTCACCATTATTTTATTCAGTATTATCCACATATGTCTTGCAAGTTGTAAAGCCACAAATTCCTCTAAAACTCCATGTAAGTGCCACCTCCTCTATGCAGCGCCCTTTGGAATTCTACTCCGGTTGGAAGTACCCTGACCCTCTCTGCTATGATTTGTGTATGTGAGTTGCTCAGTCGTGTCCGACTCTTTGCGATCCCATGGACTATTTATTGCCCACCAGGCTCCTTTGTCCGTGGGATTCTCCAGGCAAGAATACTGGAGTGGGTTGCTATTTCCTTCTCCAGGAAGTTATTAATGTATGCTATGTAGTATGGGAATATCATACTTTTCTGAGGAAGAGATAAGCAATGTGAGTTTTTGTTAGAATGTATTGTTTCTACTTTATTTCTATATGATTTCAATTCTTTCAGGTTTCATTTATAATCCAGTACATAATCAATGTCCCATGAGAATGTAAAAACAGTGTGTACTATATAAATGTCAGGTGTAGTGTTATACATGTCTATTTAAACCAAGTATCTTAGGTCATTCAAATATTTTGTATCTTATTTTGAGCACTACAATCTCCCACAGTAAGTATCTATTTATTTTATCTTGTAGTTCTATTAATTTTTGATTTATATATTTTGTAGTCATTTCTTAGGTATTCATAAATTCAAATATATCAAATATTCCAGGTTGGCTGAAACACTTATTAGATAAAGTTATCTTTATATCTAGAATGCAGGTCTTAAATTTGATTTGACCTGATACTAATTTAGCTACTTTAGCTTTAAAAATTTTTTTTCAGTCAGTGTCTTTATGCTATATCATTTTTTACTTTCAACCTTTCTGTGTCTTTTTTTAGCATGCCAAAAAAAAGCAAATAATTTATATTTTATATGCAATCCAATCTTTTATCTGGAGCATCTAACCCATTATATTTAATGTGATTACTAACATATTTATGCTTATATTTTTCACCTTGATTTGGGTTTCTACTTTGTACCACATATTTTCCTTTTATTTTTTATCTCCGTTTGGTCTTAGATTTTTCCATAATATTTTTTCCTCTACTATTTTAGAAGTTATCAGTAGTTTTTGTATTCTTTTAGAGTTACCCCAGTATTATTCCTTCTTGGGTATCTCCTCTCCTGCTCTGCTCTATGGTACAT